GTATGATGTTTTTAATTCTTCTGGAAAGATACGCAGAAGGGGAATTGCTAGATCAAGTTGCTAGCTCAATCATAGCTTTTTGAGGAATTTCCACACTGATCTCCACAGGAGTCGCACGAGTCTACACTTCCACCAACGGTGAAGAAGGGCTCCTTTTTCCCCACAGCCCAACCAGTATTTGTTACTGGTTGATTTCTTTATGATAGCTGTTCTTTCTGGGGTGAGGTGGAATCTCAGTGTTGTTTTTATTTGCATCTCTCAGATGATCAGTAATGATGAACACGTTTTCATATATTCATTTTCTGTTTATATTTCCTCCTCTGAGAAGTGGGGGTTCACCACAGATGCCTATTTTTGGTTTGGGTCTTTAGATTTTTGGGAAGTCTGATCTTTTTTTCAATTCTTTATATATTGTAGCTATTAGTCCTTTGTCTGAGAAGACAACTAGCTATAATTTTTTCCACTCTGAATTTTCTAAATAAAGCTGCAAACAGAGAATGACAGCTGTACTCAAGACAAAGGACAGAACATGGCCTCTTAACCAACACTACCTTCCCCTACTTTGAGGCAGTAAAGTGAGGGAAAAGCTGAAAAGGTAACTAAGCCTTCTCCACTCTCACCCCACTCTTCAGCTTCAGGTAAAAAGGGAGGCAGATTTAAACAACTAAAAGTGTTTATAGTAAGTTATGTAGGTCCTCCACTACAGCAACCATGGAAGAACAGTAGCCATGGCCCTCCGCTGTCCCATGGCAGTGGGCCTGAACAAGGGCCACAAGGTGACTAAGAAAGTGAGCAAACCGAGGCACAGCTGCCATTGAGGATGCCTCATCAAACACACCAAGTTTGTGCGGGACATGATCCAGGAGGTGTGCAGCTTTGCCCCCTACCAGCGGCGCACCATGGAGCTGCCTGAGGTCTCCAAGGACAAACACGCCCTCAAGTTCATCACGAAGAGGGTGGGACACACATCCATGCCAAGAGGAAGCACGAGGAGCTGAGCAACGTGTTGGCCGCCATGAGGAAGGCAGCTGCCAAGAAGGACTGAGCCCCTTTGGATAAACCTTTGCAGGAAAAAAAAAAAAAAAAGTTCTGTAACATGTTTTGGGAGCTCCAGTTACTAGGACCATCGTACCCAATTAAAGTTTCACCAAAGAGTAGATACCATGCATCGAACTCAAGAATCTATGACTCAATTATTTAATTAAAACTTATTTATTTTTAAAAACTGGAAAGCATGATATAAATGCATGTATGCTGCTCTCTACGTACAAAAATAACTTTTAAGGAAAACACTGGATGTTGGGTTCTTTCTGTGCAGGAGCTGTCTGTGACACAAGCAAAGCATCTGCTACAGCACATTTACATTTCTCCACTCAGGGCCTGTGTTCACTCTTTCTTTTTGACCTCTGTGCAAATGAAATTTGTGAAGCAATCATTGCACCTACTGGAGCTGAGAGCCTCTTTGCATTTCCATTCATCTCATTCTTTCCAGGGTTCTGCTTTCAGGCACACAAAAAGAAAAAGCTAATAGAGCAGCAGGCCTTGGTCTGAAATCAGCGCTCAGAGTATCAGCCCACGTAGAAGCAGATCTCTTTGTAAGGTTGAATGGGGCTGATAAAATAACCGATTGTCCTGTTGTGCGGAAGCTGTGGGGATCCAGCTAATGGGACTCACAGAGGTCCCAGAGACCCACCTCCCAGTTATAGTAAGAAACTGGTGAAAGAGCAAGATCTAAAGAAAGTGTTGCTATTGATGAATTAACCAACATGTAAATGTGTTTGCACATATCTGTAGTCTTGTGTACGTGGGAGGAAAACTCGACCATGCACACATATGCAGGTTTGATATATCCCATGTCTGTTGTATATTTTAGTGTTATTTATCAGTTCTTTTGGAAATATTCCCCATATTTGGACTATACTCCCATCAAGAAAAGAGGCTCCCAGGAATATAGGGCTACACATTCCATTAAAACCAATCAATGGTGCTGTTAAACTATATAAATATTTCCATGCAATTATCAACAGAAGCATAATCATCTGAACAATACTACACCAATAAAACATATCCTGAAACACACTGCAAAAGTCAAAATGTTCATTAGCAATCCCCAGCCCCTAAGTCTCTTTTATGTGTGATTTCCAGCTCACTTACTAATTTAAAAGCCAAAACAGGCACATTCAACAGCTGAAAATTACCAGGACAACTCCAGTGTCTTCCCATTGGCCAAGAACATACTGTGCGTTTTGGCTCTGTACCTCCTATCACATCAGACAGAAAGGATGTGCAAGAAATATTTCATTTGGATCCAGGTGGTGAAGCTGGTGGTAAAAAAAGAGGTGGCAGCTAATACCAAACAAAATCAAAAGTGTGTGTGTGTGTGTGTGTGTGTGTGTGTGTGTGTATGCACATGTTGGACGCAGACCAGGGAACACCTGCTTTAACAGGGAAGAATAAGTAGTTCTTGCTAAAGCATAAACAATAAATATGGCCTCGCAGTAAAACTAAGTCTGCACGTGTTATTTCTCTTTATAAAATATGTAATCACTTTCCAAAGCTGCTTTATTTTTTACAAAGAATAGAGTCTTAGGTAAATGGAAACAGCTGTAATGCTTTAATATGGCATCTTGAGCTCATAGAGCTGAAAAGAAAAGTTCCCCTTCCAGGAAGCCTGAGAGGAGGAAGTCATACCGCGTGGCTTTCCTCCACTGCTGCAAGATCTTCCCAGGTTAGAGGCCTGTGCATGCCACCCTGATCCTTGTGTAATTACAGTATTAGTAAACAATTCGACTCCTCAGTGTATCCATGGTGGGATCCTTACAGACTCGAAAACAGAAATAGCTGAAGAGGCAATCTGGGATAATCCAGTACCATTTAACATGGCCCTAGTGGCTGTGTCACAGTCAACCCACAAGCCCAAAACAGCATGTGTTGGTGTAGAACTTGGGAAAATAGGAGATGAGACAAAGCTGTTCCGGCAGCACGGGCTAAGGGCCACAGCCCACGTCCATTTCCTTTGGAAGTCTTGGAGACCTAGTGGAAATGAAGGGCACTAATAGTCATTCTAGACAGTTAGAGTTTGGCTACTCTCCCCTCAGCATCTCTTGTCTGGTTACATTAAAAAAAAAAAATACAGGATTCAGGAAGGACTCGGATGTCAGAAGGCAATTCCAGAGTAGGAAATTTATGAATTTGTAGCTTGCTGTCTGGTGCTACTACTCCCCCATGCACCACAAGGGTACGCAGATTCTGCCAGCCCAGGCCTAAGCCACGATGACACCACGAGTACCTACTGAGAAGAGGTTTTTACTGAATATGTTGAGAAGATCACACTCCACTTTACGTTGTTTCTCTCCTCTTCTATGTACCTGTATCCTATATCCTCACTGAGACTGTAAACAACATAGTTTAGCTCCCATCACTCACAGATCCTCACGGAGCATCCTAGAGTCCTCTGTAAAGATGTCGACTCCTCTGTGCAGGTCTGTGGCCACAAATAAGTAGGCACTTTCCATTTATTTCAGCTACTCTGTTTAATACAAGTTGGCCTCTTAAACTTTCACCTGTCTGCAAACACAGACTGTAGTAAAACCTACCAGCTTCTAAATGAAATTAGACTCTCCAAGTCCAGGTGGGGAGCGACAAGAGATGAACATGTGATGCAGGATATTTAGTTCACGTATGTCCTGATACCAAGAATTATTTGTATAATAAACACGTCAGAAATACTGTCCAGGAGCTAAACACAAATTGTCTCTGGTTTTAGTTAAGACAACTTTCTATTTCACTTTTCTGAGCTGTTTCTGAAAAAATAGATGACACATTTCTCTTAGGGAAGTCTGTTTAGAGTGAGTTATTCAGTGGGTAACACTGCAAGGCATGACTTGCACAGGCAAAACAGCTACCCACAACCCCAAGGAAACGCAGCCCGCACAGAGGGAACAGGTAGCTGGTAAGTACGTGCCTTA